TTTTTTTGGGGGGGGGGGGCTTGTTTGTTTTGAGCTACTGGAGAGGAAAGACATATAATAAGAACTGGTTTAACTTTTAAGAATTGGTTCAACTAAGACTTGAAAAATACATGGTAGCCTGGCCAGCATGTCTCAGTGGTTGAGCATCGACCTATGATCCAGAAGATTGCAGTTCAATTCCTGGTCAGGGCACATGCCAGGGTTTTGGGCTCAACCCCAGTAGGGGGCGTGTAGGAGGCAGCCAATCAGTGACTCTCTCATCATTGATGGTTCTTTCTCTCTCTTCCTCTTCCTTCCTCTCTCTCTGAAATCAATAAAAATATATTTTTTTAAAAAAGAAAAAGAAAAATACATGGTAAGAAATTTATGTATAAGAACCACATCACAATGTGCAGTCATGCAGGAACAGTGCACAAAATGAGTTTACAAATTAAATTACACTCACTACAGGTACTGTGTACGTTTCCACTAAGAGAAAGTATTATTTAAACCAAATGATATGTTTCCTGAAAGAAGGCAAAAGCACAGCACTGAAAAAGAAGATAGTCTATTTGTAAAAATTATGAACAAATTAGACATTCTGAAATGAAAGACAAAAAGGAAATACAGGAGGAAGCAACCCAAGGGTCTACTGCCAGATGGATGGATAAACAAAATGCAGTATATACAGATAACAGAATATTATTTGGGCTTAAAAAGGAAGGAAATTCTGACACATGCTATATATAACATGGATGAACCTTGAAAATATTATGAGAAGTGAAATAAGTCAGTCACAAAAAGACAAATATATGATTCCACTTATATGAGGTATCTAGAGCAGTCATACTCATGGAGACAGAAAGTAGAAGAGTGGTTGCCAGGGGTTGGGGGAGGGGGAATGGGGAGTTGTTTAATGGGGATGTCTATTTCCAATTTTACAAAATGAAAAAGTTCTAGAGGTTGGTTAGATAATAATGTGAATACACTTAACACTACTGAACTGTACAGTTAAAAATGGTTAAAATGGTAAACTTTGTTATATGTTTTACCACAATTAATTATAATAACAATAGGGAAATACATGACTTTCTTAGAAAAGCCATCTAAGTCTGTTAGACCACTTAGTAGTCTATTCCTCCACCATTCCATGTTAATACTACAGTCTCCCTACTGAAACAAAAGTTCACAATTACTCTGAACTTTTTAAGATTTAAATAATGAAATATCATAATAATAATGCCAAATATGAAAATACCTGGGTCAGTGGCAGAGATAATTGCTCCAAAAAAGAGACAATCTGTGTAGTAAAATTTATCGGAGAGCTGTCCCACCATCTTCATGAGCTTCACCACACCATACATGAGATTTCTGTAAGAAATGAAGACAAACTATATCAGAAGAGAAAAATAAAAAACTCTCCCAATTGAGTAAACTAGCAAATATGCAACAGAGTAGTACTAGAATACTGTACTTCAAGAGAGAGTCATGAAAACATCAGGCAGCTGCTGTGGTTGGACACTTACCAGGAATATGTGCAATAAGACTTTGGCACCAAGTAATAGTTTGCAGTTAATATCATCTTGCTGAAACATCTGAACATCCCATTTTTAAAAGTTGTGCTTACTTACAAAGGCATCTTAAACAGCTAGGTAATTGAGAGGAGAGAAAGAGAAAGAAACCTGTATAATGTGTAACAAATTGCTATAAAACTCACAGGGTTCTAAGATAGTGCATTGAAAGTCATGGAAATGAGTGGACTGGATGAAGTTGGAGAGGAAATAAAATGGGTTAGCCACAAAGATTCAAGTGATCAACTTTTCCTGCCAAGAATTATTTCAAAGAAGGGGAAAGAGGCAAAACTCTAAAAGTCCAATTAAAATATCAGTGTACCCATCAACATATCTGGCCTCTCATTCTTTGCATGGGTTTGGCAGGCCAGCAGCAGCCCTCCTCATGCTGTGCAGAATATGTGGCCCAAGAGGGACCACCAAACTTGGTGAGAGCACATTTCCTACAGGACAGCTTACAAATTATGAAGAGTGAGGAGTGTTAAAAGACCTAGTACATGTTGCTCTCTGTGTGTGTGTGTGTATGTGTGTGTGTGCACGCAGTGGCAGCAGCTGCAGGGGTTAAGAGAATAAAAATAACCACAGAATAGACTCATTACACCCTAAAGCCAATCTTCTGATAAGATTCTTGATGGTCAGAACCATGTCCTTGCTCACTTTTATATCCTGGGTGCCCAGAACAAGTAAATTGACTAAGCTAGGAGCTCAAGAACTATTTGCAGAATTTAATCCTTTTGAGAATAACTATAACTTAATGTTTGCTTACTTTGTGCCCGTCACTGTTCCAGACACTTGAATGGTTCTATTTCAATTTATAGTAACTCTGTGATACAGATTTGATTTGCCCTTTGTTGCTTATCAAAGGCTTCTTTCATCAACCCTTTAAATATTTGCTGAAACCACACCTTCCTCTTCATTTCCTTCTACCACAAGCTTAGACATGGTTACTAGACTTCTCTCTGGCAGCTTTTTCCCCATCTTGCCTCCCATCATCACCAATGTTTGCTTGATTTATGAGTACTTCCTTACCTTTTGGCATTATAAGATTCTCCATTCTCATCTTGTATATTTGCTGCCCCAGCCTTAGAATCAACCACTTCTGCAAAGGGCCCTGATTCTTTTTATTGGCAAATAATATTAGAAACCAAGATCTGGGAACTAGGTATAATTTTATTTCAATTAATTTTAGTTTTAATTTAAATAGCCACACATGGCTAATAGCTACCACACTGGACAATGTAGCTTTAGAGCTTAAATGCATCACCATAAATATCAAACTACTGGACTCTGATGATTGCCAGGGGCTGGGGGTGGGGAAATGTTGCTCAAAGGGTACAAACTTCCAGTAATAAGATTAACATGTTTGGAGAGCTAATGTACAGCTTGGTTATTATAGCCAATACGTTGTATCATATACTGGAATGTTGATAAAAGAGTAGGTCTCAAATGTTCTCACCACAAAAAAATGGTAACTATGTGAGAGGATGAAGGTGTTAGCTAATGCTATGCTGGTAATCATTTTGCAATTTATAAATGTATCAAATCAACACGTTGTACATCTTAAACTTACACAATGTTATGTGTCAACTGTATCTCAATAAAGCTGGGGAAAATACTTGACTCTGTGGGCCCATGTGGATCTCATCTCTTTGGAAATGTGTTAAGTTATATGACAAAGAGTGCCTTACCCGATAATGAAGCAGGAAACAGCAGTCCCCAAAAAGGCATAGGCCAGAATAGACCCAAGATTTCTGAAAAAGTGTCTCTGAATAAAACAAAAAAGCAGGAATCATATTGTGATTTTTTACAGTGAGCATTAGAAACACAGTAAAAGTCTCTAAAAAGTAAAACTCTACTTACTATTTCTATTATATCAAGTCATAACTGAAGTTACTCCTGAATAATGCTATTTAGCCTTTAAACATCATGGTTTTTAAATGTCCTTTGTCTTTACCAATCACTGAGTAAGCAAGCAAGGGCTTAGTAAATTTCAGACAAGACTACTGCAACTAACTATATTAAATTACATTGAGTGTGCGTGTGTGTGTGCACATGTAAGTAGACCAATCATTTTCATAGATTTAACCCAAACCATTTTACTCTAGTGATTCAGCTAGTCACTTCTAGTTCTGGTGGAACCTTAGAAGATCATTACAGATACAAGTTTGAAACTAATAAAGTATGAAAGTGCTATCTAAGGAGCTTTCTACTTAATTCAGTACCAGAAAACAGAATGTCCTAAATACTGGCTCATTGCATCTGCAGTGTCTCCTGATATTCATCTGGATTAACTTTGAGAGCCTGGGAAAGATAGATGTAAAGCAATGAGAAACAACTAGAAATGAGAAACAAGAAGAAATGAGAAAATTATAGTTACACAGATATAAGGTATTATTCAGAAAGAAGTGGCAAAACTGTACTCCTCTTAATGCCTCTGTACATTCACTGGCTACCTTAAAACATACACACACTCTCACACACACAGAGTTACTGCTCATAAATCATTAAGGCTGTCAGATATTCTGACAGGGAAAATCCCTGTTCTTGGAGCCATGGTTCTTACTACTCAAGGCATAAGCTGTTTTCACTGGACAATCAGAACTATTTAACAAAAACAGACAAACAAAATCACCCAAACACCCTAATTAAGTAGGGGTCAGGAATGCTTTATCTTAAAATTTAAAAAGGCAAGAGAGACTGGCGGGTATGGCTCAGTGGTTGAGCACCACCTATGAACCAAGAGGTCATAGGTTCAATTCCCAGTAGGGGGCGTGCAGGAGGCAGCCAATCGATGTTGTTCTCTCATTGATGTTTCTATTTCTCTATCCCTCTCCCTTCCTCTCTCTCTAAAATCAATAAAAATATATTTTTTTAAAAAAAATCAGGAGAGTCCCAGCATGGCAGCTGAGCACAAGAAAAACTTAGCCTGGATAGAGCAGCAACCATGAAATATGACCAGATAAAGGGCTGTGGGCATCCTCTGCTTGAATTCTAGACAGAGGATCTGAGGACTTGGCTTTGTCCTTCCCCAATGCTTGCCTCTCTTTGAGGCTGAAAAAGGTGTCAAGGAATGCCTACTGTCCCTAAGCAACCTCACCTGCTCAGAAAAGAAACCTTCAAGGGCTTGCCATACCACAGTCACCAAATGACCGTGCTGCCTGTACATATTATGGACACACTATGTTTGCCTCTTAAACCAGTTATTTTTAAGCTAATGTATTTATACACCAAAGTTTTGAAAATATTAGATTTCCCCAAAAAAATCAATAACTGTGAGATCTACTTGCCTCTAAAAGCTCCAGCAAGGGCTTAAATCAGGGAGGGCTCAAAGTGCATCAGGGATGAAACATGAGATCAATGAAACTCATGTGAAGTATTCAGGAACAAATTTTAATAACTAACAAAGTGGAGACAGACTCATGGATACAGAGAACAGACTGACAGCTGTCAGAGGGGAAGGGGTTGGGGCTGGTAAGAAGGATGAAGAAATTAAGCAAAGAAAAAAATGAAGACTCATGGACACAGACAACAGGATAGTGATTGCCAGAGGGAAGAGGGGGTGGGGGAAGGTAAAAGAGGGTAAATGGTGACGGAAGGAGGTTTGGTTTGGGGTGGTGAACACACAATACAATATATAGATGATGTGTTATAGAATTGTACACCTATATAATTTTATTAACCAATGTCACCCTGATAAATTTTTTAAAAAGACTGCCTCCAAATGCAGTCACATTCTCAGGTGTGGAGTTAGGATTTCAACATAAAAAACAAACAAACTCATAGACACAGACTACAGCATGGTGATTACCAGAGGAAAAGGGGAGGGTGGAGGTAGAAGAGGGTAAAGGGGGATAAGTGGTTATAAAAGGAGACTTGTCTTGGGGTGGTAAACATACAACACAATATGCAGATGACAAATTGTAGAATTGTACTCCTAAAACCTACATAATTTTATTAACCAATGTCACTCCAATAAATTCACTTTAAAAATACCAGATGTGCTTTCCCTTGCCACTCAGCTTTCTTTTGGGTAACCATTCCTATGATTAGTTTGAATATATTAAATGAATTCATATTCATGATATTAGTCAAAGCAAAAAAATAAGAATGTAAATCTGCCACCAAAAATACACTCAAAATATATTCTAAAATTACACACACAATTAGGAATCCCCATTTATATCTGCTGATATGAAATGAGATTTTACTGCACGTTGAAAAGGTATAACATGCATCTTATTTATGTATTATTATACCTAGTATTTAACTGTATACTTCATGGTTTACGAAACTACAGTTGACCCTTGAACAATTTAGGAGCATGCACCAACCCCCACAGTCAAAAATCCGCATATAACTTTTGACTCCCCCAAAACTTAACTACTAATAATTGATTAACACATATTTTGTATGCTCTATGTATTATATACTGTATTCTTATAATAAAGTAAGCTACAGAAAAGAAAATGTTATTAAGAGAATCATAAGGAAGAGAAATACATTTACAATATTTATTGAAAAAAAATCCATGTATTAAGTGGGCACATGCAGTTCAAACCCATGTTGTTCAAGGATCTACTGTACTTTCACATATATTAGCTCATCCAATTCTCACAATGACCTGATCAGGAAGGTGTTATTTAAACCATTTTATATAAGAGACATCTAGGCTAAAGGTTCACATGATGAGAGCTCACACGGCCACCAAACCATAGCACCAGAACTGGAGGGCAAGTGCTCTAACCCCAGGTTACTGCACTCTCACTGCACAAGCTATCCTTCTCAATTCCCACCACATCCTTTTAGGGGAAAAAAACAGGTGTCTAGTGGAATTCTATGTCTTTTGTCTTCTTATGTGGTCATGATAGTACACACTGTCGTGTGGTTCACATGGTCATCACTGGTTTAGAGTCTCCCCTACCTTCCCCTCTCCATGACAGAATGGAACAAAGAGACAAAAGGAGATGACATGCCCTGGTAAAGCCAAGAATATAAGGCTAAGATCAGCATGAGAAAGTTTGCTCACCCAGCCGGGCATGGCTCAGCGGTTGAGTGTCGACCTAGGATCCAGGCAATCAGGGTTTGATTCCTGGTCAGGGCACATGCCCGGGTTGGGGGTTAAATCCCCAGTCGAAGGCATGCAGGAGGCAGCCGATCAATGACTCTCTCATCATTGCTGTTTCTATCTCTCTCTCTTCCTCTCCTTTCCTCTCTCTGAAATCAATAAAGATATATTTTTTTAACAAAAGTTTGCTCATGATGAAAACCTACCTGACATATCAATTCCTACCATTCTAAGCCTAGCATTCCTACTTTTTGGGAAACCCCATCTTCTACCACTGACTAATTTTAATATGTGTGTGTGTGTGTGTGTGTGTGTGGTTTTGCTGGGGGAAATCACCAAAAATTAAGGCTTCTATAGGTGAATTTCTTCTTTGCCAATGCCCTGAAAGCAAACCATGAGCAGCAGCACAAAAATCAAAGCTAATTGCAATGATACTTTTTCAGCTTAGAAAAAAAAAAAAGGCCATGTCTACATGACAACTATATGTGCATATGTCGAAGGGTCCGAATATATGTTTACATACCTGTGGTAAATGGTAAAATATTTATTACACATTCCATTGACAGCAGGTTTAATCAGAGATGGCAACCATGTAAGAACCAACAATTTAAGTGTCTTTATGATGGCTAAAAAGGAAAGAGATTAAACTAATAGTTGATAACCTGAAAGACTAGCATTTCAAAAACAGTTTAAATTGGTAACTGGCAAAGTCTGTTGTTTTTCTTCTGAGAAAATGAAGCTGACAAAGGGAAGGCTGGGAAAAAACTAAAATGCTTCTTGGTCATTAGAGTAGCTTTCACAACCAATGATTTGGTTTTATTTGAAAGCAACTATGACTATGGTTATACATTAAGATTAGTTATTTAAAATACTAAATTATTCATCACCCATTCAATCTTAAGAGGAGTTCCCAAATCTTCATTTAGATAAAGAATAACATTATTTATATCCATAAAACCATCTCTCATCTGTTACATGTCAATAGTTGACGCATAGATTCAGATGACTTTGGCAACCCAATAGATTAGTCAGAAAAAAGATACATTTTTTTGTACAGAAAATCTAAATCCAGAGGGAGTGTAGCAAAGATGGACACCCTGGGTCCTGGGGTCAGACAGATAGTCCATAACCTTGACTCAGTCCCTCATCATCTATGTAACCTCATAGATGCCACTTAATAATTCTGAGGTCAGGTTCATCACCAGTGAAATGCAAGACACTTTCTACATGTATGGGTGTGTACAAATATATGTTGGGCTAGTGTGCAGAAACACAGCCTCCTGCTACTCAAGCATCCATCATGGAGAGGGGACTTATGTTTCATTCCTCCTCCCCCAAAGGTGATACAGTGGAAAGGAGTCATTTGATCTCTGAAGGGGGAGACTGGCTTGACACTGACTTGCCATCTTGATCCTCTTGTGCAAGGTAGGGGACTGTTCTTGTTCTTCTAGTCTCCATGCTAACAGCAAAAGAGGCCCAGCAATTTCTAGGATTTCTCCATTTCAGCCTCCCTACTTGTGACGGAGACTGAGCTGGCAACTAAAGGGCATCTGTCTTCAGTTCATTATGTGTAGCAAGCAGCCCTAAAACTAAGGACTAAACTACATCATCCAACATGCATTACCAGGGACTTTGGGTCATAAATGGATCATTCACTTGTCAGTCAGCTCCTTGTGTCTGTCTGTTTATCAATGTGTTGGAAACCTGAGGGAGAAGGGGTGGGAGCTAATCTACTACCCTCACATTCTTATAAAGTCTGTGTCAGATAAACTTTAAAGTATAACTATGTTTACGTTGATTGGAAATAGTTTAAAAACCTTTGACAACTGCAGAGTTGCTTTGACAAAAGAACCAGCTTAATGGGCAGGTGTCTTCTCATAAAATGAGTTGGAAGTGCTCCCTCCTCTATCTTCTGAAAGAGTTTGTATAGGACCAATATTATTTCTTCCTTAATTGCTAGATAGACTTCACCAGTGAAGCCATTTGGGAGTGTGGAAAGGTTTTAAATGATGAACTCAATTTCTTTAATTAATATAGGGCTGTTCAAGTTTTCTATCTCTTCTTGGGTCAGTTTTGGTCTTTTGTATCTTTCAAGGAACTTGTCCATTTCAGCTGGGTTGTCAAATTTAATTCCACAAAGTTGTTTGTAGTGTTCCACTATAGTCCTTTTAATGTCTGAAGTGCCTGTCATGATGTTTCCCCCTTTCATCCCTGATATAGGTAATTTGTTTCTTTTTTTTCTGGATTAATGTATCTAGAGGTTTATCAATTGGAAAGGCATTCTCTAGTTCCTAAGGATGTTACTGAGTTTTACTGGCAGCCAAGATCTCCCTTCTCTAGGTTCACTGAAAAAGTTTCCTTTAGTGTCTATTCAGAAAGAGAGCTGAAACAAGCTCCTGAGCTTGAGGGAGGAAGGCCTTTTTGGAGGCTAAATTTTTACAGAATACTCCCACAATGAGGGAGGAAGGGAGCCACTAGCATTATTTGTAAAGGTATTTGGTATTTTAAATAACTAGGGGCTTAGGCCCTACCTTGCTGCTGAACACAATGACTCTCAATAATCAGGATCAATTTTTTAAACTTTCTGTTTTGGAGTAATTATAGATTCACAGAAGTTGCAAAGCTGGCACAGAGAGGGCCCATGTACCTTCACCCAGTTTCCTCCACTGGTTATATCTGCAGTACAATATCAAAACCAGGAAAATGACATTAGCACAATATGTGTGTATAGTTCTATGTCATTTTATTGCATGTGTAGATCCATGTAAGCACCACTGCGATCAAGATAAAAAAGTGTTCTATCATCACAAAAATGTCCCTCATGCTACCCCTTTATAGTCATGTTCATTCCCCTCACTCCCACATCCCTAGTCCCCAGAAACCACTAATCTGTTCTCCATCCCTATAATTTTGTCATTTATAGAATGCTATATAAATGATATCATATAGTATGTGACTTTTTGTAATTGCATTTTCTTCACTCAGCATAATGCCTTTGAGATCCATCCCGATTGTTGTGTGTTTCAGTAGTTTATTGCATTTTATCAGTGAATAGTATTCCATGGTATAGATGTTCACTTAACCGTTCACCTATTGTAGGACAACTTAGTTGTTTCCAGTCTGAGGCTATTACGAATAAAGTTGCTATGAATAATCATATACAGGTTTTGGTGTGAACATAAGTTTTCATTTCTCTGGGATAAGTCCTCGGGAATAAAATTGCTGGGTCATATAGGAATTTCAACTCTAGTTTTATAAGAAACTGCGAAACTGTTTTTCAGAGTGGTGGTGTCATTTTACATTCCCACTGGCAATGTATTTGAGTTCTGGGTTTTAAAACAGAAAAGAATCACTGATTATGAGTCAACTATAGTCTCTGAGTGGGCACAGAACACAGTAATAAGCAGTCTGGGAGAAGGAAAAAACTAGAAAATTATGCAGGTAAATTAACACAGAGACTCCCATGCTTTAAGAAATACTGGCAAAAAATCATACTGGTTACATAATTTAAAGCCTTTCTACCTCTCAAGAGAAAGTAAAACTTTAAAACAAGCAATAACACTATTAAAAGGTCAACCAGCAAGAAATCTGTTTGCCATGGGAATTGTTTCCATAGTTTCCATGAAGTTATTGGTACAGGTAGACCCACTTGTGGCATTACCTGTATATACCACACACACATGTGTACTATCATGAGCATTATTTTGGAATGTGTTTATATTTCATTTTTCAACTACACAAAACTTTTGTTTTATGAAAATTCACCCCAAGAATGTCATTATGTTATTATCTGTGGATAATTTGTGACTACTTCTAAGCTTGGGGGGGTGGGGAGAGAAATACTGGCAAAAATCTCTTACCTTCTTCAAACTGTATCCAGCATGGAAAATAATTGGAGGCAGCAGAATGTTGAAAAAGACCTCTGGATCAAATGTTACCTAAAAGTTTAGAAAGAAAAAAGCCCATTTTTAGTTTAATACCAATTAGTGCTATAGTATTTACTTAATATTTTAAACCACTGGCTAAAGTTTGAATATTTAAAGCACATAACATAAATGTGAAAAATCATGAGCTCATCACAAAAGAAGCCACAGCTCCCCTGTGGACTGGCATGTTCTTTTCCACATAACACTTCTGAGTTGTGCTCTTGGCCTGCTGTTTAACACACAAGACACAATAGTACAAATGGAATTTTGAGACCTCATAGAAAGCTTCTGGTCAATGTTTTTAAACAACGAATAAAAACATCTCCCCCAGCTGGTGTGCTCAGTGGTTGAGTATCCACCCATGAACCAAGAGTTCACCAGTTTGATTCAAGGTCAGAGCATATGCCCAGGTTGCAGGCTCAATCCCCAGTAGGTGCATGCAGAAGGCAGCCAATTGATGTTTCTTTCTCATTGATGTGTCTATCTCTCTATCCTTCTCCCTTGCCCTCTCTCTCTAAAATCAATTTAAAAAAAAAAAAAAAGTAAAAACATCTTGATTTTTATCAAACCTTTATGAAGGTTCAACTGCAATAAAAGATGCAGTCATAATTCTTTATTAATTTTCTGGATCCTCCCACAGAATCATTTATAGATATAATTCTACCAAATTTAAGTCTCTTGAGTGGCCAGCCTTCTGAGATACATGATGTGGCCTAGATCAAAGTCTCCAGTAATGTTGATGGCTTCCTAAACATTGACATAAATTCAGCAGTTCTACAGGAACTAAAATTACCTGTGAGTTTGATACAGGTAAATAACTGTGAAACTATTAGACAGCAAAGTCTTATCACACCCCAAAAACAACCATTCTATAAACCTCCTAACCTTTTTAAAAAAATTGTTCATGTTAATATATTTTTTGGCTGTTATTTCAATTAATTATTTTAAATCTTCATTCTAATTATTAAAAGTAAAATTAGCATTTCTCTTTAGAAAATGAAAATGTTAACCAGTCTAATTAAAAATAGAATGGTTCTCTCAAAATTATGTTTTAGTCTATCTTCTTGCTGAAGATAGGAGTAGTCCTGAGAAGCAGGGACTGTCAGAATGAGAAAGGAATTTGGACAATACCTATCCAGTATGAGGACACTGGGGCCAAAGAGAGTGAAATTTGCTGGAAATCACTAAACCCAGTAATGTGTGAAGCAGCACAAGAGTTTCCTGACACCCATATCATCCCATGAATGCTTATGAAGGGTTGAAAGCAAAGAGCTCACTAGAACTGCCATTTGGGACATGGAGAAGATGGACATGTTGAATGCTCCAGGTCAAGAATAATTTTCTTTGAGGATTAGGGTACATCTTGAGATCAATAACAATTTAATTTTTGGAGCATAGGCTATACTTTGAATTTGACTGCAAGCCTTCAGACACATTAGACTTATTCCATATTAAAAGGGGCTCCCACAAGTTTGATCCCCCAGACTTTGTCTAGAAGCCTTCCTGCTGATAAGCCCAGGTCTATATGGTAATAGAATATTATGAGGATAAATACTAATCTCTTACTTATGCTGGAAATCATCCAAGTAAGGAGACATAGAATCCTATCCTTTTCCCTGTGGAGTATTTTAGCTACCCCCAACATCAAATGAAAACCAATGTTTGAACTCAAATTCTAAGACAAGAAGATATTCTTCCTCTGAATAATAAGCCTTTGGCATCAATCACCAATGAGAGGGGATACTCAATTTTTATAGAATACAGCAAATGAACCATGAAGAACTAAGAATTATACTTCTGAACTCTGAATAAACAAGCTGAAAGTGAAACCAATCTTAAGAAAGAAACAACCTCCTCCCTAAACCATAACAAAAGACACAATAAAGAAAAGATAGGGATTAGAGAGACAGCCGAACGGGGATGTACAAACCTACTGCACCATCAATGGGCCAAGTCAGCTACTGATCCTAGCAAAGCTGAGGGCTCAAGTTCAAATATGGTTCCTTCTTCTCTTCATCATAGCCCAAAAGCTTCCTAGTAAAACTGAGGGGCAGGAATGCTGCCTATGCTCTATGAGTTTAAAAGGATTTCTCTCCATAAGGTCAAGATCAAATTGGAAGTCAAAAACCATATCAGACAACAACCACTGAATGTCCCCAGCTCACCTTCCTCAGCATGTCATTCTGCTCTACACTGTTGATCTTGCCAGGGCTGATTTCTCCTTTCAGGGTGTATTCAAAGAACTTCCCACTGACATTCACTAACAATGTGCTGAAGGCCCTGTCTTCCTGAGTGCAGCTGAGTGACTTGTCATGGCCACTGGTGGCAGGGGTGCCGTACCTCAGGATCACCCCGACGATGAGTCCTGAAACAGAGTGAGGGAAAAAACACATCAGGCCTGTGGAAGGACAGAGAGAGCATAGAAATAATGGCATGGATGATTTTCAACAAGTAAGAAACTCAGAAGTAATCTTAGAGCTCAGGTACAGGGTGTGAGGTTTAGAAGAGACTGCACAGTCCTTCAAAAGGGTTAAGCATCCCTCAGCCACCAGGAGGACAAGGTAGGAGAGTATATTTCATGGTTATTATGGCACTGAGTACTTTTAACAACTGATCATATCTCATTTCTCAGGCTTTTGGTGAATCAAGAAGGGATGATAAGAAGCAATTTTTTTCTGCCCAGGGCAGAACTTCTGAGCTCTTTGATTTGCACCAGCAGCAGCCCTCAGGCCAGTCCTGCTGCCATCTGCCAACAAGGACCTGGATGCACTGCGGAAATTTCTAGTTGCAACAAATGCAATTTGCTTTGCTACATAAGAGGTAGGAGATAAAAAGAAATGTTGTTGTTCAGGTCATTTCAAGGACTGGGTATCATGGAAAAAGTAATTATATCCCTTGGGAAACTAAACACCACAGTGCACATTTTTGCAGTCATGATTCGGGGACTGTGGAGCCAACTTCTTGGGCCTGTGGCTATGATACAGCTAAAATAATTCCCTACAAGTCTTTAAGTCTCATTTCTTCTTAGTAAGGTTTTCCCATTAGGAACCCCCCACCCCACCCTCCAGCAAAGTCGTGCATAAGCATTCAGTCCCACGAGTGCGGGAGGAATGTGTTCCCCTGATCCTGGACATGAGTCACACATGCCCAAGGGAAAGTGAGTGAAATGTGAAAAAAACATAAATAACCACCACTTTCTACACTTCTCTCTTAGGAGGAAAAATTCAGACATCTCTCTATATTCAGTTCTTTGCCAGCAATAGTAAAAGACAGCATAGTAAAATGTTCCCCTGTCCCATTCTGCATTGAAGGAGAAAGTTACATGAGAAAAAGAATGACCAATGTTTACTATATTCTATGTATATGTTCTATAATGTCTCTTATCACCAAGACACATGAAAACTCACAAGACACTGTTGAAGAATAAATATACAAAATCTAGGGAAAACTTAGAGTTCTTTAAGTCAAACTCTGTCTCTGTATTGCATTATTATTACTATTATTATTATTGACTTGTATTAATAGATATTTGCAGTTTGCTGCCTTTTGTGGAAAAAAACAAGTTGTCAAATTTTATTACAAATTAAAAATCAGGTTCTTAATAATATCATGTTGACCTGATATGAAATAATTTTCAAACTTTTAAAGGTATATAAAAACACCAGAGTTTTATTTTTTTTTAAATATATCTTTATTGATTTCAGAGAGAGGAAAGGAGAGGGATAGAAAGGTAGAAACATCAATGATGAGAGAGTCATTGATCAGCTGCCTCCTGCACGCCCCTGACTGGGGATCGAGCCCGCAACCCGGGCACGTGCCCTGACCGGGAATCGAACCCCAATTGCCTGGACCCTGGGTCGACACTCAACCGCTGAGCCACGCCCGGCCGGGCAACACCAGACTTTTTTTAAAAATCCAAAAAGCATCATGTTGGTCATTACCAAAAAGAGGTGGCTTTAGAGAAAAACGATAAAAACCCCATAATGCAGATAGTTCTAGTTATCTGGTCAATGGCACAAAGCAAGCACTTAAGGTTTTCAGTAGCAATCATCTGTTCAGGTCTTGCTGCGGAAATTTCATATTCAGTTCTTTTTGTTGAGAGACTAACCCAGATGATGGTAATGGTAGAGACTGTAAGTCCTCACTACTCATCCCCTTCCTGCTCAGCCTCGGAGCTGACTTCACAAAGGTGGGCTCTTTGCCATCTTGTAGTTTAGGGTTTTCTGGGTGTCTATGTTGGTAACTGAAGTTTTGGGGGCACCCCTACTGAGGTGGCTACTCACCTTGGGTCTCTTCTTGATTTCCCTGCTCCTCTTCATTGCTGTACCAGGTAAGGAGGGACTCCGAGTCACAGTCTGTAACCCCAATAGGTGATCTGTCTCCCTGGTCTACTTTGTTCTTCTCCAACCTGATCGTCGGCACCCCCACTGCTTCCCTTGCACAGGATTGTAATACTCTGGACAGCACCCACAGTAGGGTCTCCACATGGGGAAACGTGTGCATGTGGTTGGTCCTGGCACTTAGGAGCACTCTACAATCCCTCCTTCTTCCCCCCATTCTCTTTACTGAGGTCATTTTGCTGGTAAACACATGGAGGGCTCCCATAACATTGATAATGTTTATAACGATTACACTCTGCCGCTTATTTACTGCCTGGAACTGGAAATCCACCAGGGCCTACCACATTTGCTGCCTTTTCTCCATCAATAACATCAAATTCTATAGNTCGAGCCCGCAACCCGGGCACGTGCCCTGACCGGGAATCGAACCCCAATTGCCTGGACCCTGGGTCGACACTCAACCGCTGAGCCACGCCCGGCCGGGCAACACCAGACTTTTTTTAAAAATCCAAAAAGCATCATGTTGGTCATTACCAAAAAGAGGTGGCTTTAGAGAAAAACGATAAAAACCCCATAATGCAGATAGTTCTAGTTATCTGGTCAATGGCACAAAGCAAGCACTTAAGGTTTTCAGTAGCAATCATCTGTTCAGGTCTTGCTGCGGAAATTTCA